AAGTACTCAAATTAATCTAATAAAGACCTAGTATATACATTATATAAGGAACCTGTAAAAAAAAAAAAAAAAGAGAGCGATAAAAGGCCTAGTTTTTTTTTTTTTTTAAAAAAAAAGAAGGCAAGCCTAGCCACTATGGGTTACCAGTAACATAAATGTCCTGCAAGATTGGAAACCTTGCCAGGGCCAGAATTTGAACTACACAGTTGGCCATGTGGGTTCATGAAAGGGCCAGCCCCTGTACATTTTCATTTCTCTTGAAATGAAAGGGAGTTGCTGTCATAAGGTATTTCTTTGTTTAACTTTTAGAGGACAGCCAAACTTTTCCACAGTGTTTATGCCATTTTATATTCCCACCAGCAAAGAGGTTCTGCCCACACTTGTTATTTTGAATTGATCAGGTTGTCAAGAAAAGTCATGACACATTTTTGTGTAGAAAAACATCGAAATATATGTCATGACTTTTCCATTGACCTAGATGTATACTATAGCAATTCTGGTATTATGAAGTGGTACGTCATTGTGGTTTTGATTTCTCTAATGACTAATGATACTAAGTATATTTTTATGTGCGTCTTGTCCCTTGGCGTATCTTCTTTAGAGTAGTGTTTATTCAAATCCTTTGCCCTTCTTTTAAAAATAAATGATAGCACAACCAGCAGTTAGCGTAATAGCTAGAGAATGGTACGTCATTGTGGTTTTGATTTCTCTAATGACTAATGATACTAAGTATATTTTTATGTGCGTCTTGTCCCTTGGCGTATCTTCTTTAGAGTAGTGTTTATTCAAATCCTTTGCCCTTCTTTTAAAAATAAATGATAGCACATGCATGTTCATGCACACAAGAAAGAGAAATACCATTGAGAGGAGTCTTGTCACACAGTAAACCCCCACTCCAGTTCTCTTAATTCCTCCGGATCCTGGGTGCCCAACTGGTATGCCTTCACGCCAGCCTAGGGATCCAAAGTTATGGTTGCCCACATGGCTTCCAGCCTTGCAGGGCATTTATGTTACTGCTAACCTATAGTGGCTAGGCTTGCCCTTTTTTTTTTTTTTTTTTTTTTTACAGGTTCCTGGTATAATGTATATACTAGATATATTTTTTTTAAGAATTATTTATTTCCATTTGTTATTACTATTATTTCATTTGATCAGACAAAGGCAGAGAGAGAGAGAGAGGGGTGGGGGGAAGCACAAAAGCAAGCCACCAGGTCCAGGACCCGAACCACGGTCAGCCATGTGGGAATCCAGTGCCTTTAACCACCACACCATCTGCCGGCCCCTAGATCTTTATTAGATTAATAATTTGAGTATTTTTTTCCCATTCTGTAGGTTGCTTTTTCATTTTTTGATAGTATCTTTGATGCATAAGAACTTCTTTATTTTAAGTTTATCTTATTTATGTCTTTAATGGGATAGAGAGACAGGAAACTTTGACAGGCTCTCCCTATGCTGTGATTGTCCACCAGCCTCCTATCCAGGATCATTGGCACATATGGCCACACCTAGCATGGCCCAGTTGGCCCAAGTTCTCTTATATGGGCCTCTTATATGGCTCCAGCATTATGTAATGTACCCCACCCCCTGCATCACTGCAGCTAAGCCATAAATGTTTTTTGGTTTTAATCCTTGTCTCCATATTATGTTTTTGTATTTGCTTGCCAGAGAGACAGAGAACATATGAAATCACCTTCTTGGGGGGGTGGCCATGCCACAGTCTTTTCTCCTCCATTCTCCCCTTGAGATTTGGGGCATGCATGAACATGTGCTGGTGTGAGTTTCAAACCTCTGAGTCTGGGACTTGAACCACAGATAGCCATGTGGGAGTCCACCTTAACCTTAACCACCACACCATCTGCTGGTCTGCTTCCATGCTCTTTTGATGTCATTTTTGTGCTTGCCCAACTTATGGTCATATAGGATTGCATCTATGTTACCTTCTAAGAGTTTTACAGTTTTAGCCCTCACATTTGGCTCTTTGATCCATTTTGAGTTAATTTTGTATAGGGTATCAGGTAGAAGTCCAACTTCTTTCTTTTGCATGTAGACATCCAGTTTTCCTTATACCATTTGTTGAAGAGATTATTCTTTCCCCACTGAATGTTCTCGGAACCCTTGTCAAAGGCACATGTGCGTGCGTGCCCAAGATCCCAAGAGAAGAATGGAGGAGAAGGGATTTCTCGCTTTCTGTCTCTGTGTCTTTCTCTCTCTTTCTGGCGAGTGCACACACCCTATAGCATTTATTTTTGTGTGTGAAGATTTATTTTTGGGCCCTCAATTTTATACCATTGGCATCTCCCTCTCTCTCTCAGTATATGACTATCTTTATGCCATAGTACACTGTCTTGATTACTGTACCTTTGTAGTAACCTTTGAAATTGTGAAGTATCCGTTTCTAACTTTGTCCTTTTTCAAGATTATTTTGGCTATTTGTAATCTTTTGAATTTTCATATGAATTTTAGGATTCATTTGTTAATTTTTCCAATAAAAGGAAGTCGGAATTTTATAGGGATTGTATTGAATTTATAGATTGATTTAACAGTTACCATCTTGATTCATGAACATGATTTGTCTTTATATTTTTTAGATCTCTAATTTCTTTCAGCAATGTTTTATAGTTTTCAGTATATTAAGTCTTGAATTTCCTTGGTTAAACTTATTCCTATTTTATTTATTTTCATGTAAATGTAATTGTGGTCTTAGTTTCATTTTCATATTGTTCAGGAAACATGTATAGGGAGTAATCTAAGTTATAGTGGTTAAGTTAGACTCTAGGCTTTAGAAATAAATCTAAAGAGACTATGGTGTAATGGCTACGTCACCAGATTCCCATGTAGTCAACCATGGTTCAAGTCCTGGACACACTGGCTTAAACTCATGCCAGGCACATGTGCATGCGTGCCCAAGATCGCAAGAGAAGAATGGAGGAGAAGGGATTGTGGCATGGCCATCCCCCGTGGGGGGTGATTTCTCGCTTTCTGTCTCTGTGTCTTTCTCTCTCTTTCTGGCGAGTGCACACACCCTATAGCAAAACCTCTCAAAGAAAGAAAGAAATCAGTCAATCAATCAATCAATCTAAAGGCAGTGAGTGCACAGGCTGAGTCCATGAGGAAGTTAACTCACCTTGTAGACCCTTCTTTCCTCAGTAAATCAGGAACAACCATTCTTGTTGTAGTGGCTTCATAGGGCTCGTGTGAAGTATAAATTAAATAATAAAAAACAAAATGGTTGGATCTTAGTAGATAATTAATCTTGATGCCCTTCCCCTATTCTCCTTGCCTTAACACTGTAGCTCCTTTATTAACTGCAAACTAAGTTCTATATTAAAGCATCTATGCCAGGAACTAAGGAACCCAGTCCTTATCTCTAGCCCGTATCTCTGCTAAAAATTGTACCCCATGTCCAGAGGACCCCAGTGCCTATACCTGAATGTTGGCCACATGTGTTGCCAGATTCCAGGTCTCTTGGTATCAAATGCCTAACTGCTCTTCTGCTCATTGAGCAAGACTCAGAACACTGATGCTGCATTGTACCCACTCGCTGGCCTCTCCTGTTTCCTCCTATGCCTACTTTGGGGCCCTCCCCACCCTTCCTGACACAGTGCACAAGGGACAGCATGTCTTCTTACCACCTATCACTTGGACATCTTTAAATCACATGGTCTTACTCTTCCAGCTCTGGCGGGTGTGTAGGGTCCAGTTGTCTCAGGGATGATATGAGTCCTGGTTGGAGGTTATTTTTCAGTCTTATTTACTGCTAGGAACTGAGGTCCATTGCTCTTTTTGAGACTTCAGAAGGGTTCCACTCCTTTTAGGATAGTAACACAAAACTTGGGAAAACCAATCTCTTTCTTCCGTATTTGCAAAAAATAATGCTCAGACTGGGCATGCTCATTGTCAGACTTGCAGTGCAAACTTACTGGGAACTCCCGCTTACATCTGCTAACTAATATGCAAATAAGAAAGCAGATGCTACTTAATTAGAAAAGCATGGGTGAGTCAAGCACAAAATAAAGAATTTAGAATCAAGAAGAAATGCTTTCTTCAGAGATCAGTAAGGCCATTCCTTTTGGAATTAAATGGGTATGGGCAAATAATAAATTTATTATGTTTAAAAGAAAGAAAGGAGCCAGCACATAACTTGGTGGTCAAGGCAGCCTAATCCCACAGGGTCAACCATGTGATTCGAGTCCCACACCCGGTGACTTGAAAAACACACTGGGTATGTATGTGTGTATGCATGCCCCAAATCCCTACAGGATGGAGAAATGGAGAAGAGATTATAGCATAACTGTGACCCATTAGGGGTGCTGTCTTCTCCCACTGTCTCCCTGTCTTTCAGTGAGTACATGCATCCTCTGGCAAATAAAAAAGAAAAAAAAAAAAAAAGGACTTCTGTCCATGGTTCCTAGCTTTGAACTCCCACAGCATAGTACATAGACCTCTCCTAATGTTATATCGCGCTCCTTGTAATAATCTTTTTTGGGTCTTTCTCACCGTCTAGACTTGGAATTCCTCTAAAGTATATTCAATTAATTATGTTCTGTAAACATTAGTCGACATCTGCCCTGTGCAATAAGTCCAGTGTAAGGCTTGAGGGATTTCCAAAAAAAAAAAGAATTAGACATAGACTCTGCTTAATCAGTGTCCTCGGGGTTGATAGGAGATGCTAATTAACTGTTCTGGAATGGAATTGATTAGCTCCTTAGGATTTTCTTTTGGCCCTTTCCCTCTGTTTCTGGAATCCATTATTTTTCATTTTGAGAAAAGAGTAGAGGTGAGGGGAGCCGGGGGAGGGACAACGGTATTAAGACCTGAGGAAAATAAAGCTCTATGGCAGTGTGATAAGAACCAGGAATCTGACCAGAGAAGTAGAAGGAGCCAGAGCGAGGCAAGTTCAGAGAGAATTGATGACTGTCTGGAACAGGGAGGCAGGATGGTAAGGACACAGTCCAGAAGCTTCTCTAACCACTTCTTGTTCTTTATCTTTCTTCTTAAAGGAAAAGCTGTTTTTTTGGCAAGAGATAAGCATCACCTCTCAGACATCTGCCATCTGATCCGCCATGATGTGCCCTACCTGTTCCAGAAGTATGTGAAGGAGTCCCACGGAAAAGATATCCGGGTAGTGGTGGTTGGGGGCCAGGTGATAGGCTCTATGCTTCGCTGCTCCACAGACGGACGGATGCAAAGCAACTGTTCTCTCGGTAAGGTGGAAAAGTGCAGTCAGTGGTCGTGGAAGGCCACCAGTATTTTTCATCTGGTCATTTGGACCTGCTCCGTAAATGCATGTTGATCCCTATTGTCTTGTCAGCCCCTCTTCTAGACACAGGATCTCACAGATGAGAATGAGAAACAAACTCTTTTCTACAGCAGCAAGCAATCAAGGAGGGGGAGTTATGGAGTATAATTGTTGTGACGCAGGTCAGGCCAGGGGTGTGAAGGCACTGACCTTTGAACCTTGTCTTGTAAGTGGGTATCGCCAAATAACAAATTTATTATGTTTAAAAGAACGAAGGGGCCATCCCGTAGCTCAGCGGTTAAGGAAGCTGTATCCCACGTGGTTCGCCCTTACCAGTTAGGTTTAAAAAGGGAGTAACAGGACCAGCATCTGAGAAAAATTCCTGTTTGGGTAAAGGATGGATTGAGGCATAAAACACGAAGTAGGGAGATGAGTTTAGAAAGCATTGCAACATCTCAGGCCAGAAATATCAATAGTAAGGATATAAACTAATATCATATATTTTTAAAATCTTATTTATTCATCCATTTTTTATTTTATTTTAATTTAATTTTTTTTTTTTTAATTTGACCAGAGAGAGACACAGAGAGAAAGAGGAAAAATGAGAAAGCAAGCCACCAGGTCCAGGACTTGAACCATGGTCGGCCATGTGGGAGTATCCAGCGCCTTAACCACCATGCCACCTGCTGGTTCCACTAATATCATATTTTTTATTACATTTTACATAAACTAATATCATCTATATCATATTTAATTTTATATGTTGATTAAAAATTGGGCTTTCCTTTTATGTACAATACTATTTGAAAGCTACAGTTTATACTTTGGTTGACTGCACAATCCCATTCTGTTACCCTACTGATAGAACTTCTTTCCATTGTGGTGAATGGAGATATTCTAGGAGGGCTGTAAATTCTCACCCTTCTCAAAGAAAGCTATTATCAGCTTCATTGAATGAATTTGTGTGTTGGTTAATAGGAATAAAATACCAACAATTGTTATTTCCTAAATCACCATAGATGAGTATACCAAGTTCACTAATAAAGAGCCTTAGACACTGATTGGTTCCTTTTTTCATTAACATGTATCGAGCAGTTCTATGAGCAGATTTTGTGGTAGATGTTGGGGTGTAGATAATGAGAGTTCCTGACCTCCAGCAGCATGAGTTCCAGGAAAGAAGACATGTAGACAGATAATTCTAAGATAATGTGATGAAGCCGCATAGGATTAAGTGCTAGGCTGAGGTTGACACAGTGTTAACTACCTTACATGTTATCACATTTCATTTTCATGATAATCACATGTAGGGCCATAGTATTAAACTTCTTGTAGAATCCATTCTTTAGTAACCACGTGGATTTAAATGTTTTCCATGAGCCGGCTCCCTGGCATAGTGGTAACGCATTACTCAAGAGGAGTTATTAATAGATCCTACATGATGACTGTGGTTTGAATCCCCCACCCAGTCAGCCTGAAACACAACGGGCATGTGTTCCAGTCTGCAGTGGGCAGAGAACTGGAGGAAGGGGATCAGTGTGACCGGAGCCTGTGGAGCGTGCTCATCTTTCCCTCTCTGTTTCTTTCTCCATCTTGGATGTGTGCGCATAAACTCTACCATGAATAAAGAAAGGACCATTTTGGGGACCAGCAGTCAGCATAATGGCTATGTCGCTGGACTCCCAAGTAGTCGACTGTGGTTCACGTCCCAGACCTGGTGGCTTGAAACTCACGCCGGGCGCGTGTGCGTGCGTGCCCAGGATCCCGAGAGGAGAATGGAGGAGAAATGATTGCGGCGTGGCCATCCCCTCTGGGGGCTGATTTCTCGCTTTCTGTCTCCCTGTCTTTCTCTGTCTGTCTGGCGAGCACACGCGCCCTATAGTGAAAAAACCTCTCCAAAAAAAAAAAAGAAAGGACTATTTTAATGTATCCATGTTTTCTTTCTTTTTTTTTTTTTTAAAGAGAGATTGTTTTTGTTTTGTTTTGTTTTCCTGCTATAGGGCATGTGCGCTCACCAGAGAGAGAGAAATTACTCCCTGGAGGGATGGCCATGCCACAATCCCATTTCCTTCATTCTCCTCTTGGGATTTTGGGCATGCATGCACATGCACCCAGTATGAGTTTTAAGCCACCAGGTCTAGGACTCAACCACGGTAGACTGCGTGGGAATCCAGTGAAGTAAAATTACACCATCTGCAGGTCCCCTATGTTGTTTTCTTAATAAGCCGTTTTAAGACTGTTTTCATAACCTTTTCCTTATGCAGTCTTTCCAGGGAGACTAAATGGAGACATTAAAATCTGAGGTCCTAGCTTTTTTTGTTTGTTTTTTAATGATAGTGCTTCTGTGTGCACATGAGAAAGAGTGAGAGAAACATTCTCAATGGGGTGTTGTCATTGCACGATCCTTTTCCCCAGCCCTCCAGCTCTCAGTATCTGGAGAACTTGTGCACATACCTGGCATATTTTCAGGTTAACCCCAGGATCTGAACCCAGGTTCTGCCATATGGTCTCCAGCTTTGCAGGCATTGCATTACTGCTCTACCACAGCATCTAAGCCTGGTCCTAGCTTCTTCTTCTTCTTTTTTTTTTTTTAAAGATTTTTGCCACAGGGTATGTGCACTCACTAGAGAGATGGACAGAGAACATGAGAAATCACCCTCCCAGGGAGGATGGCTATGCCACAATCTCTTCTACATTTTCTTGGGATTTGGGGCACGTACCTATATGCACCTGGTGTGTTTCGCAAGCCAGAGTCCAGGACTAAAACTGTGGAGTCTGCTATGTGGAATCCAGTGCCTTAGTCACCATGATACCTGCTGGCCCTGGTCCCAGCTTTTTAATAAGTCAAAAGCAGATACTCTATCCTTGATATGGGATTTGGTCTCACAATCCTCTCCATCTCTTTCTCCTTAAAAATAGAGAAGTAGGGGCCAGTGGGTGTCATGGTGGTGGAGTCCACTGATTCCCACATGGCCGACTGTGGTTCAGTCCTAGACCTGGCAGGTTGCTTTCTCACTTTCTCTCTCTCTCTCTCTGTCTGTGATGAGTGCATGTCCCCAGGGAGGAGAGAGCATGAGAAATCACCTCCCTAGTGGGGATGATCACACTGCAGTCTTTCTCCTCCAGTCTCCTCAGGACTTTGGGCATGCACACATACATGCCCAGTGTGATTTTAAAGCCACCAGGTCTGGGATGTGAACCACACAGTCAGCCATGTGGGATCTAGCGCCTTAACCTCCACGCCACCTGCTGGCCCCAATAAATTTTATTTATTTATTTATTTATTTATTTATTGGAGAGGTTTTTGCTGCAGGGCACATGCACTCACCACACAGAGAGAGACAGAGAGACAGAAAGTGAGAAATCACCGCCCCAGGGGGATGGCCATGCTGCAATCCCTTCTCCTCCATTCTCCTCTTGGGATCTTGGGCATGCACGCACATGCGCCCAGCGTGAGTTTAAGCCACCAGGTCCAGGACTCAAACTGCGGTCGGCTATGTGGGAATCCAGCGACATAGCCATTATGCTAACTGCTGGCCTCAGAAGTTTATTTTTTCCTAGTAATAAAAGGAATAAATTCTCAGTGTAGAGACTTTTCAAAATACAGCAAAGTAAAATAAGAAAATATATCATTATCCCCACCATTTAGAGACAACCTTTGTAAAGATTTTGGTGTCTTTATTTCCACTCTTTTTTTTTTTTAATGACAATATCTTTTCACATAATTTTGACCACACTGAAGTGTTTTCCCATGGTTTATAAACTCTCTATGAGCATTATTTTAAAAAATTATAATGGTGGTAGGCTGTCTTCCTCCTCTGTTGTGAAATATTTAGATAATAATTTTTCTTTTTTTTTTTTTCAAGGTTTTTGCCATAGGTCATGTGCTCACTGGAGAAAAACAGACAGTGAGAGGGAAAGTGAGAAACCACTCCCCAGAGGGGATGGCCACGCCACAGTCTCCTCTCCCTAACTCTCTGGGGCATGTCCTGCATGATTCCCAAGCCGCCAGGCCCAGGACTCAAACCTCAGGTGTCCAGGTGGGAGTCCAGCACTTCAACCATCACCTGCTGGCCCTGATTTTTCATTTCTTTACTCAGTAGATATTTACGGATGCCCACTATGTGTTAGGCACTGTGATTTTCCAATATTTTAAATAACACAACTATTAACATGTTCGTGCATAAAGCTATTTTTCCCTTCATAAAATTATTTTCTCCATGGTAGGATGGCTAGTCCAGGGTTTGAGCATTTTAAAGACTCTAGATAAGAAATGACCATATAGGAGGCCAGCAGATGGCACAGTGGTTAAGGCACTGGACTCCTATATGGCCAACGACGGTTTGAGTCCTGGACCCAGTCAGTGGCTTGAAAAGCACAGTGGGCACATGTGTGCACATGCCTAAAATCCTGAGAAGTACTTTCTACCTCTCTCCAGAGAGTGCACACACCCTATGGCAAAAACGTTAAAAAGGAAAAAAAAAGAGAGAGAGAGAGAAATGACCATATTGTTTTCTCAAAGGGCGACCCAATTTTCAACTAGATCTGTGAGTAATCACAGTGCCTGTCTCACTGCCCTTCCTCCATAGACCCCTATGTCTTCCTTGAATAGTCATTAGACTTATCAGCGAGTATCCATTGTCACCTTTATGTCACTGTGCTTTCCCCACAGGTGGTGTGGGTGTCATGTGCCCACTGACGGAACAAGGCAAGCAGTTGGCTATTCAGGTGTCCAACATCCTGGGCATGGACTTCTGTGGCATCGACCTGCTTATCATGGACGATGGTTCCTTTGTGGTGTGTGAGGCAAATGCTAACGTCGGCTTCCTAGCCTTCGACCAGGCGTGCAATTTAGATGTGGGTGGGATCATCGCAGACTACACCATGTCCTTGCTGCCCAACAGGCAGACTGGGAAGATGGCCGTCCTCCCGGGACTGTCGAGTCCTAGGGAGAAGAACGAGCCCGATGGCTGTGCTTCAGCTCAGGGAGTTGCCGAGAGCGTCTACAGCATCAACGGCGGGTCTACCTCTAGTGAGAGTGAGCCTGAACTGGGAGAGATCCGGGATTCCTCAGCAAGCACAGCAGGGGCCCCGCCCCCCATGCTGCCGGAACCTGGCTACAACATTAACAACAGGATTGCTTCAGAATTAAAACTGAAATGAATTTCTGCTTTTTGGCAGCACTGAAACCAAATCCTACTGCTTCCCTAGTCGTTTTGAGTGAATAAAATCTGGACTAATGTGATATCGTTTGCACAGAAACTAGAAATCCCATCTGGGCACTCAGCATTCTTTCTAATGATGATTTAAGCAAATGGCCTAGCTTTGTGGTTTTTACAAAGACTAATATAAAAACACTCACCAAGAACAACATCCCGACTGATCGATCTGAGACTGAGGTCTGCTGCCAGCTCTGTGACACCATGGCTGACTTCAGGACACTGATCCTGTGCCACTGCTTCTGGCTCCTCACAGTGGAGTCCGTGAACTGGGAATGGCTCCTGGAAATACTGTGGTCAGAGATAACCACGAGACAACTGTGTGCAGACGAGGCGGAATGTGACTGCAGGAATGTGTTCTTCGTGAAGTATGTGTGTGATGCTTGGAGAATACACAGTTCAAACACTATGAGAGGATCAGTCTCTGCTCCCCATCAGTCACCATCTTGACCCTATTTCTCTGACACTCAGGATATGATGTTTTAGGGAGCTTTCTCATTAGCATTTTCAATGAAGCACTTTGTAGAAAGTGAAATCGAGCATTCTCTGACTTCGCTGGTTGGCAGATGTCCTGCTTTGTCACTGGGGCTTTCTACAAATTGCTTTGCCACTCTGAATTGATAGGCCTTGCTTCGACTAACGCCAGCCCCAGCAGCTTCTTGCACCTTTGCTGCCTTTGGCCTCAGCCAGAAATGCACTTCAGTGAGCTAGTGGCCACACACTTTGTTTCTTAAGCGTGCACTAGAATCGAACACCATGGACTTCCTTTTCAATGGACTGTTCATTTGTCATCTAGCAGCCCCTGGGTTTTTACCATAGTGAGCTACGGAAAGATTCTCTCCCCCCACCACCCTGCCTCTCCTGAAACTACTGCTTAGCTGTAGGAGGTTTCCTTGTATGACTTGGTGTTTGAGTCTATTGGGTAGATAGAGCCATTGGAAACATGCTCTGATCCCCTGACAGTCTACTCTTATCCAGGCTCCAGAGACCTGTCCTTACCCACTTTTCCACACTGGGGAGTCTCAGGTATCAGGAATTACTCATTGCACATTGGAGAGGGGTGGTGGGGTAATGTAGATACGACACCAAGTGCTTTTCGTTTTAATTCTTCAAGTAGTAGATAAGATCCTTCCCTTGGGAGAAATCATGGAGATGGAGTTTTTCATTTCTGTTCATGTGAAGTATGACTGGAAATGAGCAAGGCTACCTTTTTAACCAAGTCCATGAGAACACATGCACTCAGGAGTCCTCATAATTGGAGTTAGTTCCTTGGGAGACCATACTCTTGAACTGTAATGTTGCATGTGCCAAGAGCACTTAGAATTCCTCTTTGGGGTTATCTTTGAAGCCATGCAAGGAAAGGGGCCTCACAACTTTAGAGTCAGGCCTTGATTTTTTTTTTTTTTTTATCCACCATCTCCCATTTGCCCACTAAAGTGGTCCCAAGCTCTGTCCCACATTTTGTGTATCAGACTTCTTTTCTAATGCTCTTTGAATGTTAAAAAAGAATGCTATTCCTCAAAAAATAGATCTACCCTTAAAGATTTACCAAATCAAAGAAGCTTACAAGTTGACACTTTTCAAAGAGGGTTCTAGAAATGTTCCAAGTAAGGTCAGCTCCACTAGAATAAACATACGTCTCCTCAAGGTGACTACTTTGAAGGTAATACCACCCATTTGGGTATATAAATACCTGCACTTATTCTGCTGTCAATGTAAAATGTGTATAAAGTTAAACTACATGTTTTTCACCACACATTTAAATAGCAATTGGCTTTCAAATGTAGTTAAAACCGTATCTCACCAAGTTACAGTTGTACAGTTGAAAAATGTTTGGTGCCATGGAATGGACACGTCACTCTATAAAGTTATAGTTTAAATGCAGTCCACACAGGGTGCATGCCACTGAACTGTAACCCTATAATGTGTCTTGTACAGTTGAAAAATGATCATCTTTCACTTTTATGTAGGTTAAGACATGTACCTTTACCACTCAGGGTGGCTTTAGAAGATGGACAGTTTTAGGTTTGTTCTCGCTGGACTTGGTCAGATGCTTTCTGTCCAAACATCTGAACCAAGTGATGACCTTCTGGAAGCTGCATTCCCTCATTTCCACTGGTTAGTGTTTCCACACTTTATTTAAAAGGATGTTAGCAGAGCCCCATTCTAAGTAGAGCACCTATGATTACTTCCAGATTCCTTTGCCAAAGAGGCTTGTTTCCCAGCTATTAGTGACCTCTGTAGTCACTGGCATCATGGGCTAGAACTTAGCTCATCTAGAAGCAGAGAAGGCTGATCACAGTTGGCCCCTCACCCCTCCTCCAGGAATTACCACACTGTGGCTAGCTGTGGGCTCTGTGAGCCTCAGCAGGTGGTCCGGCTCAACACTTGTCACAGCTGCCCACAAGGCCTGCTGGAAAGAACATGGGGTATGAAATCAGAGCCTTGTTCTGGCTCCCCCTTAAACATCTGCTCGACCTTGCATATTCAGAAACTCTGAGCCTCCATTTGTCCATAGAGCAGATAAAGGGATGGAATGGAATGACTTTTCCTCCTGGAGGTGCTTTGAGGTTGGCCTGAGCTAACAGATGAGACTGCACTATGTGGAAGGTGGTGATAGCACACTTTCTGCATCTGGTTTTATAACTTTCTCATCACCCTTCTCACGAGGGAGTTAAGAAAGAAGCCATGAACCCTTTAAACATTGATAGGGGCCCTAACAAACAATGCAGCTTCTCAGAAGCCTTACTTCCAGCCAGGAAAACTTAAGACCTGAAAAGGGTGAGGCTCATAGTGTATTTAAACAGCCTTGTGGATGTATCATATATAACCTGAAACCCTTGACTCTTGTATACCAACTAACAAAGTCTTCCTTATGTAACGTAGGTCACAGTGTTTGTATATGGTCTTCCCATTATCTCGTAGTAGCATCTTGAAACTGGTCAAAACTTGAATGCCAATAGCTCAGTCACTCCGAATATATATGATTCTGCACTCGGGAAAAATGTCTTCATGCTATCTGTCTGGTTGGGTATGGGATTGCCCAGATGTGGATTTGGGACTTTAGATCTTTAGGATCTGAGGAAAAATATAAGTAGATTATAAGCCATTAGTGTCACAATTGCAGACTCACTGCTTCCAGCTAAGAGGGTATTTCATGACAGTGGGTACAGAGAAAGGCAAGAAGGGAAGGGGAGAAGATCTGGGATAGTTTCACAGAAGTTCACTATGTGGAAGGTGGTGATAGCACACTTTCTGCATCTGGTTTTATAACTTTCTCATCACCCTTCTCACGAGGGAGTTAAGAAAGAAGCCATGAACCCTTTAAACATTGATAGGGGCCCTAACAAACAATGCAGCTTCTCAGAAGCCTTACTTCCAGCCAGGAAAACTTAAGACCTGAAAAGGGTGAGGCTCATAGTGTATTTAAACAGCCTTGTGGATGTATCATATATAACCTGAAACCCTTGACTCTTGTATACCAACTAACAAAGTCTTCCTTATGTAACGTAGGTCACAGTGTTTGTATATGGTCTTCCCATTATCTCGTAGTAGCATCTTGAAACTGGTCAAAACTTGAATGCCAATAGCTCAGTCACTCCGAATATATATGATTCTGCACTCGGGAAAAATGTCTTCATGCTATCTGTCTGGTTGGGTATGGGATTGCCCAGATGTGGATTTGGGACTTTAGATCTTTAGGATCTGAGGAAAAATATAAGTAGATTATAAGCCATTAGTGTCACAATTGCAGACTCACTGCTTCCAGCTAAGAGGGTATTTCATGACAGTGGGTACAGAGAAAGGCAAGAAGGGAAGGGGAGAAGATCTGGGATAGTTTCACAGAAGTTGGAATCATTTGGGATTCTAGCTGGAAGAAGGAAACAAATGGCTCTTTCTGTGGATTGTTCTGATGAAAAAAGTCATGAACATGTATTGATTAGGGTCTTGGAAGCTCTTCTGTATAATGAGATGCATGGATTTCCGACCTCCTGAAGAAGTGGGAGAGATGTGCTTCATCCCTGCGTGAAGTCCTAAGGAGCGTCTTGAGAACGCTGAATGTAAGTAAATCTGGGGAAGATCGAAGAAGCTAGCTGGGCGGTCCCAAGACCACCCAAGTAATAGCTGAACCTCCCAGAAGTTAAGCAGACCAGAACACCACGTGCAGGCAAAGCCCAGAGCCATAGCTTTCTGAGGTGAATTTAGGGACAGTGAATCCAGTGTCGATCAAACAGGTCACTTCAGCTTAGTATTTTCCTTTGCACCTGGAGGTGAGCCTTCCGTTTGCTGTTAGCCTGTGCAGCTGTAGCTGCAGATGTTTTGGGAAGGGCCCTGATAACAGCCATCTTTGTCACTGCCCCTGAATTTAATATTCTTAAAATAGGGTTGTAGCCCAGTACAAAATCCTGTGCTGTTTTTGACTGTGCCTCTGATCAGTACAGATTGTTGCTTTTAAATGATTTTACCGGGAAGACTCCTTCTCAGGGATATATTCTAATCCTTTCCAAAGATGATGACTCCATTCCAAGTCTGTGGCTGGTTTCTGCAGCCCTCCCTCCTAAAGCTCATGCAGGTGATTGTGAAAACTTTCTTTTTCAAAGCCTTCAGTTGCCTTCCCCAGGTGCAGTTTCTGTGCCAGCATGCAGCACCATCCTGAGGCCTGTGTTGACATTCCAACCCTGTTTGGTGTCCTTTGTGAGGTTCGTGTCCTCCAAGCAACACTAAAACTTCATCTATAGGACCCTGTGTGAGACCCCAGGAATAGCAGTACTTTGAAGAATAGTCCAGGTATAAATAAGAAGTGTGAGTTCCAGAGGCCATAGTCACTTAGCCAGTCAGAGCAAGGCTGGACCCACGCAATTTGATTCTCCATCCAGTTTAGCATACTCCAGGGGTGGCTCTATTCCTCTTGGCATCTAGCCCTTGCTGTCATCCTGGGCCCACCCTCTTTCTGCAGTCCGCTGTTCGAGATTAACATGGTGATGATGTGCCAGGTGTCAAATGTTTAGCACTGGGTTAACTTCTAGGTGAGAGCTCCGAAGGTGAGACGTCCATGATGCAAGCTGGATTGTGGTCTGCACCTTCTTGAAACCAGCCAAGACCACTTAGCTCCACCCCACCCCTTCACTGAGGGGGCATGAGGGAGAAGGCCCAGGTCAAGCCTACTGAAGGCTTCCTCAGCCCAAGATTGGCTGATGTTTCCTATTGCAGAATGTCTTAGAGGCCAAGGGTTTGAAGTTCCTGAACTTAGGCACACCCAGGCTGGGAGGGAGGTGGATCCTGCTTGATACACATGCTCTAGCTGTGACCAGCAATGCAGTCAAAAGTTTCCTCCCTCTGTTGCACAGTGCATTCCCCCTTGTGGCCAGATACTAGGCACAGATTCTTCCCTGTTGTATTTCAAATCTCTGCTGAGGATTCCTTATCCTTGAGTTCCAGACAGGTCTGATCATTCTGAGCTCTGGTTCTGAGTCTCTGGATTCCCGTGAATTATATTTTAGCAGCCACTGCTGACTCCAGACTTCAGCTACCTCACTTTAAGCAACAATGTTATCTTGTTCACACACAGCAAAATTCAAATGAGCGTGTGTGCATGTGTGGATGTGTGTGTGTGTGTGTGTTCGCTTCTTCCAATGACGTGGGCGGGACTTGCAGACATTGCAGCAATGCAGACTTAGCATCCTACTCATAGAACGTGCTTCTCAAACAATACAAAGGAATCTCCACTCACCTTTCACTCCATGTGGTTCCTGTCTCCCTTTCTTGGGACAAACCAGATGCATTTATGGTCTCTCACTATCGCCATTCCTCTTTTCGATATTACCTTTTACTGTAGGTGGCTTATTAAAGGGTTTTCCTAAACAAAGATGGCTCCCTCCTCAAGGGGAGCTTGAGTGCTGTGTCTCTTAAGGTGATAGATTTCTCACTCCCACATCACTCGGGAGGCATCACAGCAACCGCATTCACTCCTAGCTGTCAAGGGCATACCTCATGGAAGGCACTGTGGACTAAAGTGATGGCAGCAGTTAGATCCAGTTCAATTCCTGTCTTAGATCACTTCAAGCTTAGGCGACCTAGGGACAGTCACTTCATCTCTCTAAATCTTAGCTTTGTCACCTCTAAACACAGTCCTGAATGTGAAGCACTTAACTGCATGCCAGGCTTTCCAAGGGTTCCTGTCCCCTTGCCTCCCCCTCCCACACACCCCCCAGCAGTCACCACAGCTCCTTCCTGTGACTGGCTCAGTGCCAAGGGACAAAAGCTGGCAGACAGCAGCTTTACAGCTGGGAGAGGGAGACGCTGGGGGTAGGGCTGGCAGCTGCTCAAGCATGCTGTGGTTTGGGCTTAATGACTGAAAAGGTCCCATCCATCCTGGAGAGTCTGATGCTGTGCTGTATTTGGCTTAGGAAGATCCTGACGGAAAGGCAGCCTGGGATAACTGACAAGCAGCAGACCTTGGATTATTGAGCACCTGGGTTTTTTGGCTCTTCCTGTGTTAGGTTTGCTGGCTTTGCAGTAAATGGAAAGAGGAGATGCAGGGGACTTGAATTAAACCCGTCAAACAGAGGGTGAGGGGTGTGCAGAAGGCTGGGGGGCTGTGCAGGGAACTCATAGTCCGACAGCACCATCTGGACTTGGCAGGGATGGCAGCCCTGAAAAGCGGGTTGGAATTAGCCAATAAAACAGCTCAAAATCTGCTCTCCTGGGCCTGGCCAGAGTGGGACCTCCAGAATCTCCTATTTAGAAGGAACACTCATCTCCTGTAGGGGGAGAGCCAGAACCCTTACTCTACAGAGCTAATAAAGATCTTTGTGGAGGGGCCAGCAAGTGGCATGGCAGTTGAGGTGCTGGACTCCCACATGGCCAACCAAGGTTTGAGTCCTGGACCTGGTGGCTTGCTTTCTCGCTTTTCCTTTCTCTCTCTGCCACTCTCTCTGGTCAAATTATAAAATAATTATAACAAATGGAAATAAATACTTAAAAAAAAAAAGATCTTTGTGGAGTCAAGACTGGGCAGGTTCTTGGTTTTATTTAGTCCCACCTGCAGGTCCCCAGTGCTCCAGTTGTCTGCTAGAACTGGCTGATACTGGCCTCTGAGAGCAGATTGTTAAATTTTCAGGGATTTTTATGAGCTGGTTGTTAAACACAGCTATCATTAAAGATTACATTATATAAACCTACAATTAAATAAGTATCTAAAACATAGGTAGTAAATACTCAGAATATCACTTCCTAATATCTTACTATTTTTTGGTTTTTGACATTGGTTATCTTTGTATGGTGAAAATACAACTGCACATCTCTTCCCAATGCTGCCATTCAGTGACGTAACACTGGTAGCACGTGTGGTGTATCTACAGCCATGGTGGGAGTATTTACACCACAGAATTGGTAAACACTACATATCAAGTTTTTTTGCCCTGGAGAGCTGGTTGTTAAGCATTTTTCAGCCCACCCCGCCACTGATAGAAAAGAAAAGAAACTGATACACATAAGCACTGAAACATCCTAGTTCCAGGAAGGTAGGCTATATGACGATTTCTCAGAAGCAAATGTTGAGTGAAATGTGCACAACTGACTTGAAGTAAAAGAACACCATTTAAATATACTGCCTATTTTGTCCAGCTTCTGTGTTTTTCATGTGTGGGGAAAAAAAAATCTGTTTGCTTTGCTCCTAAACTTAAAGAGTGATTTGCAAGGTTCAGTCTCCCCTGTGGAAGGTACCTCAGCTAAATTCCCTCCAGGAAAGTAAACTGTAGTTTCTCCTGCCTAATCAGCAAAATGAAAATGTGCTGTAAAGAATAGATCTTAACTAGGCGCCAAAATAGCTCATTTCCAAGTGGTTTATACAGCAATAACAATGTGAACTTCTCTGACAGAGAAAAATTATTTATAAATCATTGTTTTGCTGGTTTTGCTTTTCATTAAAATTATTACTTTGGAACAGAATGCTTTGTTTGCCTTCGTCCCCAAAGCTCTGTGCCTTTTGGTGGTTCTTTTAAAAGAAGAATCACATGCTGAGTCTACATTTTATTTTCATATCATAAAAAGAGGGGGAAAGCGTCATTGAAACTTCATCTTACTCACTTACACACCAGCTGCATTCTGAAAAACCATAATTTTCCTTTCAAATGCAGAATGCTATCTGAATTGTATTATTGCCAACTCTAGAGATGATGGGGGAAAATACTAATGCAGATGGCGTGAGCTTGTCATGGCCTGCTCAGTCTGTGCTCCTGGACCAATGTTTGAACTAAGAGTCAAATAGCAAACGAGGTCTGAAACCTTTCTTTTCTTTTAAAGAATTATTTAATTTATTTATTTTTAATTTGACCAGAGAGAGAGAAAGAGAGAGAGGGAAAGTGTGAAAGCAAGCGGCCAGGTCCGGGACTCAAACCATGGTTGGCCATGTGGGAGTCCAGTGCCCTTAATCACCATGCCACCTGTCGGCCCCAAGATCTGAAAACTTCATACCATCTAATTCTCAGTTTATATTCAAATTCTCCCAGTTTTCTCAAAAACACTGCGTTTAGTTCCATCATAAGACAGTGTATTTGGTGGGACAGGCGGTACTTTAGAAAGGATAGTCAATACTTCCCACCATCTTGACCAGGCTCCGGCAGAAAACACACTCAAGGGCTCTACTGCGGAGATCTTTAGGCTAGCTGCAGACCCCTTCCCAAGTTGCTGGATGTTGAGATTTCCTCAACCACTTGCTCAGCCCAGAAAAACAAAACAAAACTCAGAACAGTCATTTGGGGCTACTATATTCCTCAGCTCCTGTAGCCACTGTGGTTTTATGAACTTCCTCTTCTGTTTCCCAGTGTCCCATGGTCTCCCTTGGGGACTCTCCCAGCTTCATAGTGCTGGCAGCCACCTGTCTATCACAACTGGTGCCCACTTCACTGCTTTTCTTGCAACTGCTACTTTCACTGCAGGGATTTCCTGAATCAGGGAAGAGGAAATCCGCCCAAGGATTACCACTCTTCCACCAGCCTCAAGTCTACTGTGTTCTCAGTGAAGCAGAGCACTTCAGGTCTCCCCAGGACCTGACAGATAGAAAGTTGGGGCTGAAACTCTTAGCAGACAAGTCAGAACATTTGGCTGGCAACACCTGTGTCATATCTAAAGCCATTCCTCTGACCAAAGAGACCTGGCAACTGGCACACTGCCTGCTCAGGGATTTTCTTCTGCTATAGAGGATGTTATTAAGATAATTGGTGGGACCAGCAGTTAGTGTAATGGCTATGTTGTTGGACTCCCATGTAGTCGACTGTGGTTCATGTCCCAGACCCGGTGGCTTAAAACTCACGCCGGGCATGTGTGTGTGTGTGCCCAAGATCCCAAGAGGAGAATGGAGGAGAAGGGATTGTGGCATGCCCATCCCCCCTGGGGGGGGATTTCTCACTTTCTGTCTCTCTGTCTCTCTGTTTGGCGAGTGCACACACCCTATAGCAAAAGCCTCTCCAAAAAAAAAAAAGATAATTGGTGAGATCTGAATATGGTATTTATTATATTGTCTGACAGTATCATATCAATGTTAATTTCTGATTTGATGATTGCACTGATAATCTTTAAGAGGATGTCTTTGTTTTTAGAAACTCTACATTAAGTATCGAGGGATAAAAAGACATCATGTCTGCAAATTACTTTCAAATGGTTTGGGAAATCATGAGTATCTATAGAGAGAAAATGATCAAGTAAATTGGTAAAGTGTTAATATTTGGGGATTCTGGGTAAGAGGCAATACAGGAAGTCTTTGAAGTAGTCCGAATAAGTCTGAAGCTATATGAGCCTCCTTCTCTGCTGAATATTCAGTTTCCTTGGACATTTTCTTAGGCTCTCTTTTCTTCCTTATCTATATTTCATCCCCAGGTGATCTCTTTCCCGGGCATCAATTACCATCTATGTGACACTCTCAAATTTATCTCCTGAACCCAGGCTTCTTTTATGTCAGATTGCGTATCCAATTGCCCACTTCTTGTCTCTCAAGTGTCTCAGAAGCATCTCAAACTCGCCTCACTTCAACTGATTTAATGTTCTTATCTTGCTCCCACAAATCTGCCCCTCTCCCAGGGCTTTTTATCAGTGTCCCATATCAACTACTTGTTCAGCCCAGAAAAACAAAAGTCAAAATAGTCATTTGGGGCTGCTGTAGTCCTCAACCCCAGTATCCACGTGGTTTTTATTGTTATTTTTTGTGGTAAAATTTGACTTTCAAACTATAATACAAACTAGGACCAGCAGTTGGCATAATGACTATGTCACTGGACTCCCATGTAGTTGACCATGATTCAAGTCCCGGATCTGGTGGCTTAAACTCACACCAGGCACATGTGCGTGTGTGTCCAATATCCTGAGAAGAGAATGGAGGAGAGAGGATTGCAGTGTGGCGATCATCCCTGGGGGGTGATTTCTTGCTTTTTGTCTCTCTCTGTCTCTGTCTTTCTGGTGAGCACATGTGCCCTATAGAAAAAAACCTCTCCAAAAAAATACAAACTGACTTTTTTCATTGAAAACTTTCTCTGTCTTTTGCCATGCTTATAAAGTTTTTTTGAGTGATCTACAACCCAGACAAAAATTTACAGGCAAGGGACAATATTTATGTTATGTAGTCCTGGTTTTTTATCCTAATCCCAATAATAACCAAATTCATATGCTTTTAAAACCTGCTGTTGCAGGGCCAGCAGTTAGTATAGTGGTTAATGTGCTGCACTTCCACATGAGTGATTGTGGTTTGAGTCCCAGATCCAGCAGCTTGAAAATCAAGCCAGGCATGTGTGCGTGTGTGCCCCAAATCCCAAGAGAAGAATGGAGAAAAAGAGACTGTGGCACAGCCATCCTTCCGGGGGGGTGATTTCTCACTTTTCCTCTGTGTCTCTGTGGCAAACTGAGCCCCCTATACCAAAAACCTAAGAATAAATAAATAAATAAATAAATAAATAAATAAATAACCCCCCCTGCTACTGCTTATTTAAATATTTATTAGCTATGTGTTTGTGTTTGCATATATGTGTAATAACATATGTCCACATTGTCATTGGCTAGATGAATATTAGGAAACACACAACTTCTCATCAAGAGAAATGATGGCATGGTTCTATCATTCAAATCATGTTTCACCATCTTTTTTGAAGCATTTACTTTTCTAAATGTTTACTCTGTGTGACCTATTATGCTTGAGAGATGTACTTCATAGCCATTGTGAATACAGATACCTCATTTGCACAGTGTGTGTCTGTAGTAGGACATAGTGAGGCCTACTCATGACAGAGCAGTTTGGTTCTAGTCTCAGTAATTTGAGGACCTATGGCATAGCACAGGCCCAGAGCTGTGCAGTGATGTAGTGTTATCCACTAATAATCCAGAACAACTATTCAAGGAGAATTTTTATTAATGGCTCATAGATAACATGATATAATTTATAATATTGCATGTGTGCTTGCAAAGAAAAAAATGTATTCAGGGCTTTTGGAGATGATGCCTTTGTCCCAGCCTTAAAAATTCTGAAGATGTTTTGGAAAGATGTGATTACCTGATGGGAAGTTAAGAGACCCTTTATGGGGGACCTGCTGTATCACCAGGATTCCTGGTTTTCCTCCACCTGCTTGTTTCTCTCTAAGCTACATTTCTCAGAGCTCTTCGAAACTGAGATTACTTCCTGTATTACCATCACACATATAAAAACGAAATACATTTTCACTGAAGAGTCAAAATAATAAGAGCTAAATAACACTTTCAGATTGATGAAAGAAAGAAAATCTGAGTATCTGCCATCAGCAGAACCTCACTATAGGAAATACTTATAGACTTATCAATAATGTGAGCCCAGGCAG